CAGTTGCCGTGATCGGACGGTTGCTGTGAGCAATACATGATATAATCCTGTAAAATATTGAGCATAATGTGGCAAAATGTTAATTTGTGAATCTAGACAGAGGGTATTTATTGCACTATTATTGCAACTTTTCTGTTGGTTGAAATTTTTGCAAAATAGTTGGGGGTGTGAGGAGACAGAGGATTCTTGCTTGTGTAGAATACCCAGAAACTGATACCAATGGTTGCCAGCCTCTGGGGAGGGGAGCTGGGTGGTTGAGAGGTGACCTATTTTTTTAAATTTTCACTGTAAGCCCTTTTGTTCCCTTTGGGTTTGATATTATGTGAATGTACAACTTGTTTTAAAATAATTTTTAAAAGTCCTGCCAGTACCTCAAGGTCAACTCAGTGGCCACTTCCCTTAAGAAAATGCATGTTCTCCTCAAGTCAGTGGACACATCCAGCACGTGCCCTGAACAGGAGTGGTCCACAGCTGGGGGCATACAGAAGCATTTGATTCAAGCCTGCCTGGAAGGAGCTCACACTTGAGCAAATGGAAAAGCAGGAGGCAGACAGACAAATTCAATCTGGGGTGTTGTGGAGATCCATACAAGGGCACCCAGCTGCGCGTGCAGCTTCAGGGACAGCTCCTTGGAGGAGGCAATGCCCGGGCTGAGTCCTGAGCTAAGACCCAGCCGGGAGGAGGGAGAGGTTAGACATTCCAGACTGAGAGCGCTCAGGGCTTTGAAAGCAGTGGGTGTGTCCATGAACACAAGCATCTTGATATTACTGGATAGTTCAGAGCGATGACAGTAACAAGCAACGAGAATGATTGGGAGAATTAAATAGTTGGTGCATGTGGAGGTTTAGCATATGCATAGGAATACCTATTATGACAGATTAGAGTTCAGACTCTTCAGGGAGATAGGTGTTGTTGCAGTATAATTATTTTATCTCCATTTTACAGAAAACATACTTGTCTGTGGTCAGAATGTAGACCCTCTAAGTGAAGACTGAAGCTCACACAGGCTGACACCAGAGTTGCCTGCGCAATGGAGAACCATTAGCTCAATTTTTTAGATAAAAATAAGGGCTGTTGGTCTGGAGAATGAATCAGAGGCAGAAGACTGGAAGCGTGATCAATCAGGAAACTACTACAATAGCCCGGAGAGTAGAGAAGGTAGGGACCTGAACTAAGGGTAGGGTGAAGGGAAGAAGATAATGAATTTGGGAAATATTTAGGAAGTAAAATAAGTATATTTAACCTTTCACTGTGCTACTTTTCAGGACCTGACTAGACTATGAGCACCATGAGGGCAGACTGGATCCAGGTTCCTGCTGCAGTTCTGGTGCCTAATTCAGTTCCTCACACAGGGTAGGTGCTCAAAAAGCACATGATAAGTGAATAAATGATACTTGCTGTTCTTTAATTGTCATATCTGCCACCCAGATTATAAAACCCAACCCACGCAAACAGGGTCTGTGTTGTATAGTCATGGGTTCCGTTTTCAGGGGCCTAGAACAGCATTATGCTCAAGGGCAAAATCGTGTAAACATGTAAGCACTCACTGAGCTGTGTGCTTTATTTTTTGTTAATCCTTACCTGAGAATATTTTTTCCATTGCCTTTTTAGAGAGAATGGAAGGAAGGGGGGAGAGACAGAGAGAGAGAATCACGAATGTGAGAGAGATACATCAATTGGTTTTCTCCTGCACAGGCCAAGAATCGAGCCTGCAGCTGTGCCCTTGACCAGAACCAAACCCACAACCCTTCAGTCCATAGGCTGAGGATCTAACCACTGGGCCAAACCGCCCAGGGCTGAGCTATACACTTAAGATGTACTCACTTTATTGAATACATCTCAAAGAAATAATAAACAAACATGCAAAGGCCTCTCGAGTGGGCCCCAAATGCAGGTAAATTCTGCTCTGTGCACCTGACAGCTGCCCTGGAAAGTGTCCTTGCAACCTGTCAGGGAGCAGAACTTGCGTGCCACACACACACTGGCACACACCCACAAAGGTAGCCACATTTGATCTCTATCACCACCCGGATCCCTGAATGATCTCGTGCAAATAAGAACTCCAAATCCTCACAGTTTGGCCCAAAAAGCAGTGTCTTGATTGGTCAGAATGGATACACTCTGGTTGGTTGGTGAAGGTGCTAATGAGGCTATTATAGTAGTGCAGCTCCAATTGGACAGGGAACATTTTGGTCCTGTTGGTTGAAATACAATTCCGGTAACTCCTCTTTAAGGACTGGCTCAGCTGGTGGGAGCACAGTGCTGGAAGGCAGTTCAGTGCAGGCTTTTCCCTGAAGTGTGGTGTGCATGAGAAGCCCCTATTTAGCAATGGCTGCTAGGCTCTGTTTTTAAATTTGAACCCAGTCAGCCACCAGGAGCCCTTCTTAACAGGTACATTGATTCTCAGAGTCAACATAAGTGTACGTTTCACTTAATAGGAAACTGCCAAACAGTTCTCTGAACCTGAGAGCTGGCTGTCCTCTCACACTTTCTGTTCTAATAATTGATAATAAGATTCACCTGGGGGGGGGACTGCTAAACTCTACAGGTTATTGGGGCCCTCCCATGGACATTCAGAATCAGTATTTTTTATTTTTTGAGCTCAGGAATCTGTTTTTTAAATAAGTGTGCCAGGCAGAGAAACAATGAGTGGAGCCAAGTTTCTCAAATCCTGGGGAATTTAAAAATACCTACTCCTGGCCTCCATTCTCAGATATTCTGATTTAATTAGCATCTGGAAAAGCTCCTTGGGAGATTCTAATGTCAGCCATTAAGGGAGAGTGGAGAGGAAAAGGCTTTGAGGTCAGTCAGACCTGGGGTAGTCCCAGTAGAGGTTACATCTCAGGTGGCTGTTGCTGCATAAAATTACCCCACTCCTACTGAAAGGAGTGGCTTAACCACTGTTCTGTGAGTTGACTGGGCTCAGCTGAGCAGCTCTGCTGGTCTTGCTTGGGGTTCTTTCATGCCAGTGCAATCAGATGGTGACCAGGCTGGACTGCTCCCTTCTCCTTGTCTCAGAGCCTCTCCTTTCCCCAGGGTCTCTCCCTGAGTCTCTTAAGTGGCACCTCAGGGTTCCCCAGAGTGTTCCAAGCAGGGGAAGCAGAAGCTACCAGTTGTCTTAAGAGGCTAGGCCAGGCACTGGTGTGGCATCACTTCTGCTTTCGATTAGTCAGCACAAAGCCATCACCAACTCAAGGTGGGCAGGGAACTACACAGGATGTGAATTCCAGGAGACCTGGTTCACTGGGGCCATCTCTGAGACTAGCTACCACAAATAGTGTCTGCTTCATTAAGTTACTATGAGGACTAAGTAAGTTAACATACATGAAATTTTTATAATGGTATCTAAAACATAGTAAGTGCTCAAAAACTATTTTTTATTATGCCTATAATTCCTATGTTGGGCTTGGCAAATTTTTTCTGTAAAGAGCCAGATAGTAAATATTTTAGGCTTTGCAGGTCCTATGTTCTCTGTTGCAACTACTCAGCTCTGCCATTGTCACATGGAAACATTCATAGACAATACATGAATGAATGAATGTGGCTGTGTCCTAATAAAACTTTTATAACAACAAATAGTGATTCAGATTTGGCCGTGTCTCTTGGGACCCCTCTTTTCCTATTGCTTGGGCCTTCCTTCTCTGGCCAGGGTTTCAGAAAGGTTGGTCTCCCTGGTCAGTGCTCCATCGCCCTGGAGCACTGACAGTGTGCTAGCTCTGTACTAGGTGCTGCATATCTGACACTTACCATCTCAACCCAATTATCACCATTTGAAGTCACCTCTGGCAGTGTCAAGTGGTGCCTGATAGGGGTCCTTAGGACTCTCCCCTCATCTTCTGTCAGTGTCCTCAAAGCCACCCCAAATGAACACATATTTTAATTAAAATGGTATATGTTGTAATTAACGTATGTTTAATTAATATACCCACCCCCTCCCTGATTGCCATCCAGGATTAGTATTACTCTCAGTTTACCAATGAGGAAAGTGAGGCACAGGGAGGTCAAGTACCTTATTCAAGGTTATACAATGTAAATGGTAAGCCTGGATTCAGACATGGGCAGCATATTTATAACCACTGCTCACACAACCTCCAGTCAAGGATGCTGCATGCCCTGCTGGGAGGTGGGATGCCTGGCCGTGCTCTTCCCTGAGGCTAAGGTGGCTGTCCTGGAAACAGGAAGCAATATCAGAGGATCTCAGAGGCACTTTCCAGCTCTAACTCCATGATGCATTTCTTTTCTTTCTTTCTTTTTTTTTTTAAATCTTTACCTGAGGATATTTTTTCCATTGCTTTTCATTTTTCAGGGAAGGGAAGGGAGAGAGACAAACAGACAGGCATCGATGTGAGAGAGACACGTCAGTTGGTTGCCTCCCGCACTTGCCCATACCTGGGCTGGAGATCGAGCCTGCAACCGAGGTACATGCCCTTGGCTGGAATTGAACCTGGGACCCTTCAGTCTGCAGGCCAATGCTCTAACCACTGAGCCAAACCAGCTAGGGCTCCATGATGCTTTTCTACTGCAGACACCAAATGACAATAGTCCTAAGATTTATACCAGGAGGGAATGCCAAAGCATTAGATGTACAAAGTCCACCCGAAGAGCAATTTAGTCAGTCTATTAAAATTTTAGATGTGCACACCCTTTGGACAAGTGACTCCACTTTTAGAATTGCTCACCCAGGCACACAAAAGTATATTATGTAAAAGGATGTTCACTGCATCACTCTTAAAAACAAAAAATTGGAGATGTGCCAACTGTCTGCCATTAGAGGGTCAGATAAATAAATCATGTTTTTTTTATACAGGGGATGCCACAAAACTATGAAAGAATGGAAGGTGTTGAAGTGACCAACCATACGTGAAATGTGGTCAAGTTTAAAAGCTAGTGAGAAAATGGTGTGTATGGTGATAGCTCATTCCTGTTGTAAGTATATATGTATCTACAATATTCATAATTTTTAAAACAAAAACTGGAAACACATACAGTGTAATTAACCCTGGGAGGTAAAAGAATGAGGACTCTCACCTAATCTTTAGATTTATAGTGTGTTTAAAATTTTTAACAGAGTTTTGTTTTTCACTAATATATAAAAAGTCATATGATGAAGGTTGGTGTTCCCATTACCTAGCTTTAACAATCATCAACTTACAACAAGTTTTGTTTCAGGCATACCCCACCCATCAGCCACCTCCCATATTATATTGAAGCAAATCTCCAACTCATATCATTTCTTTCATAAGTACTTCAGTACATGTCTCTAAAAGATAAGGACTATTTTTAAAAAGTAGCCACAATACCATATCACACCTAAAAAACAACAATAATTCTTTAATATTATCAAATGTCTAGTAAATAATTTTTAGTTATCTTATAAAAACATGAATTATTTTTGTAACAAGAAAAAAACAGTTGGGTGGGTGGGAAGAGATTAACCAAAGAACTTATATGTATATAGGCATAACCCATGGACACAGACAATAGTGTGGGGAAGGCCTGGGGGGAGGGCAAGGTAAAGGGGGTCAATGGAGGAAAAAAGGGAACATCTGTAGTACTTTCAACAATAAATTTTTTTTTAAAGTTGGAAAACAAAAAGTGTCAATCAGAGAATACATTGGTACAGCCTTCCTGGAGGTTTGTTTAGTAATGCTTATCAAAAGCCTTAAAAATGTGCTTATCTTTTGACCCAGCAATCCCAACCCATGAATTTGTTCTAAGAAAACAAAATGAAAGAGGTACACAGACACTGTTCCCCAGAGTGTGCAGTGCCTGTTACAGAGATGTTGCTTGAAAAATATTTGTTGAATCTGAAGTTGAGATTCTTTGCAGCTTTTTTTGTAAAAGGAAAAACCAAAGCAAGAAATGTATGACATTAGGATACCAGCTAAATGAAGGCAGATCCATAAAATGGAATATTGTTCTGGCTTTTAAAATCAGTTTGTAATAACACATATAGATTCTCCCCCCAGGGAGATGGAACTTAGTCTCCCTTCCCTTGAGTGTGGCATGGACTTCATGATTGGTGTCCAAAGAATGTAGAACAAAAGGGCCGAAATGGTACTTCTACAAGGGTGAAACCCAGGAGGTGCTTCCTACCTTAACATCAGCAGTGACAAATCATGTGGATATCAAGTGCCCCTTGATGTAATGCAATGAGAAGGGTACTTCACCTCTGTGGTCTTCCCTCTAAACCATAACCCCAGTCTCATTACGAGAAAAACATCCGACAAACTCAAATTGAGAGGCGTTCTACAAAATACCTGAGCAGCACTCTTCAAAACTGTCAAGATGCCCAGCCGGGCGTGGCTCAGCAGTTGAGCGTCGACCTAGGATCCAGGCGATCGGGGTTCTATTCCCGGTCAGGACACATGCCAGGGTTGCGAGCTTGATCCCCAGTCAGGGGTGTCTAAGAGGTAGCCGATCAGTGATGACTGTCTCATCATTGATGTTTCTCTCTCTCTCCCCCCTCTCCTTTCCTCTCTCTGAAATCAATAAAGATATATTAAAACAAAAAACCTGTCAAGGTCATGAAAAACAAGGAAAGACTCAGAAACTGTCACCAACCAGAGGAGCTGAAGGAAACAAGTTAGACTGAATGCATGTGGGATCCCAGATGCAGTCCTGGAACAGGAAAAGAACATTTGTGGAAGAACTGGCAAAATCCTAATATAGTCTGTAGTTTAGTTAATAATATTTTACTAACCTAAGTTCTTTTAGTTTTGGCAAAAGTACCATGGTTATGTAAGATGTTAACATTAGTGGAAGCTGGATGAGTATATTGGAACTCTGTGCTCTCTTTGCTCTAAATCAAAAGTTACCAAAAATTTAGTATTATTTAAAAAAACAATATAGATATTGTGGACCTTGAGAAAGAAGATACCTACTAAGAAAGGCTCCTGGTGGCTAACTGGGCTCAAAATAAAAAAATACACACAGAGCCTAGCAACCATTTCTGCACAGGGACCTCTTATGCAAATTGCAATTTACTGAGAAGCCTGCACTGATCTACCTGCCTCTGCACTGAACTGCACTGTGTTCCCGCCACCTGAGCCAGCCCTTATAAAAGAGCCTGGAACCCTATTTCAACCAATAGGACTGAGGCTCTCCCCATCCAATTGGAGCTGCACATCTATATCCCTATCAGCATTTTCACCAACAGAGCAGAGTGGCTCCATTCTGACCAATCAGGAAAGTACATTTTGAACCAATCAAAGTGCAAGGCTTTGGAGTCCTTATTTGCATGAGGACAGAGAATCAGGGACTGGAGGTAGGGACTTCTGTCTATATAAGCCAGCTCCCCTCTGGCTCTGAGAGCACAATTTCCCTTCCCACCAAAAGCTGAAGGTTTTGTTTCCTGGGGAGCTGAAACAGACGATGTCTCAAGGGGGCAGAGCAGAGCCAACCAGCACGGGCCAGGGAAGACGGGCACAGAGCAGGCCAGAACAGCATAGAAAGCGAGCAGTGGAGCAGAGCTGTCTCAGCAGAGGGGCCTGGCCCCCAGGGCCTCCTCCCAGTCCTGTTGTTTTCATAGTCCTCCTGTATGACATTTGAGCAGTTTTGCACTGAATAGTTTCCTTCTTCACCACACCCCAAACTGGGGGTTCCGGTTGGGGTTGAATTGGTTCCAGCAATCATTGGTTGACAACAGTTATTAGCATAGATATGTATTCATGATATATGAAGGGGAAATCTGCATATGGGTCTCATACAGTTTTTGCTGAATGAACCCATTTTTTTTGTTAAAAAATTAATAAGGTGTGTGCATATACATGATTAGATCAATATACATGAACATATACATACACATGTAGGGAAACAAAAGTCTGGAAGCATATACTTCTGGGGCTTCAGGCCCAGAAGCCTCGAGCGGCCAGGCTGTGACTGGTGAGATGGAGTATTCAACATCCTTCTAAAATGGGCAGCAGCTCTGTGGCCCGAGCAGTTTCTGTCCTGTAGCCCTTGGAACGATTCCTGACAGATCTTCTCTTTTTTCAAAACAAACTGAAAATCCTGGTTGTTACATAAAGTTTCAGGGCTCACTCAGCTGGAGGAGGGCCTTCAGGGTCACATGGCCAGGCAGAAGAGGGCTGGCACTGAACGGGATAGGCGGCGTAGGCTGCCAGCTGGACTCAGCCCATCTTGGTGCCCCCATCTGTGTTAGGGCCTGAAGGAGGGCCAGCGGGCGAGGGCAGGGAGAGGCTGAGCTCTTCGGGCCTGCAGCTGTGCATGCTCCAGGCTGGGGGTGGGGTTTGCTTGGAACCTGATGCCTGGGCTCTAACCCTCTGGTTCACCAGATCACGGCAGGCAGAGTGAGTGAGTGAGTGAGTGAGTGAGTGAGTGAGTGTGTGTGTGTGTGTGTGTGTGTGATGGATATAGCATTTCTTTGGGGGTTTATGTCGTGCATGTCCAGGTGGGGCCTGGCTGTCTTTGAGGCCTTACATAGGCATGACCATGTTATGTGTGTACATATGTATTGGTGTGTTTATCCATGGGTCTGTAACTGAATGAATGTGTGTGTGTTGTACAGATGCATCCGTCTGTCTATTTGTTGCATTGTGTTTGTTTGCATGCCTGTTTTATGGATGGGTATTTTAATTGTGTCCATGCCTCTGTGTGAGTATATGTCAGTGTCTGTAGATATGTGTGTCTCTGGCTGAGCATGTGTATGTGTGAATGTGTGTGAGTGTTGGAGCTGGGGATCAGGAGGTTAGGGTTCAAGTCACTCACAATTAGCACCAGCTTCTTGATTCCTTGTTCTTGGTTCCTGCAAGTCCTCAAAAGAAGCATGTAGGGTCTGAGCTACCCCTGCCAGGCTCAAGCCTTAACCGCAGGATGAGAAGGGTAGGAGTGGGCTGGCTGCAGGGCCTGGGCTTGGAGAGCCTGGAATCCACTCCTGGTGCACACACACATTGCAACAGCTTCCCTGGCCTGGCTCCTGGGGCCCTTGGCTGGCCAGAGAGTCTCTGATGCAGGACACAGTTCCCACAGCATGCCACCACTTCATCAACTCCCACAAAGCTACATGAAAGCCATTGTTTATAGAAGATGAGCATAGCCCAGCCTGATTTGATCAGTCCCCAAACACAGGCTTCGGGTATAGGAAGCCTGTCTCATCACCATTCCTATGATGTAACTGGGGGAGTTGGGGGAAGGTATGGGGAATCAAGGATATGGGCAAATTGGAGGCAACTTGGGCAGAATAAAAGAAGAAGGAAGCCTCAGAGACTTAGAGCCAGAGGGGCCCTTGGATAACCTCTGGTTCAGTCCCGTTTTACAGATGAGGACACTGAGCCCAGAGAGGGCAGGATCCTGACCTGAGGTCACACAGCAAGTCCTGGAAAAACTAGCATTCCCTTCAGAGAGCTGGGTAGCTCCAGAGTTCATGGTTTATAGGAGTTATTCATTCATTCATTCATTCATTCATTCATTCATTCATTCATTCAACAAATAAGTACTGAGTATCTACTACATACCAGGCCCAGTTCTAAGCCCTGGGGATATAGCTATGGATGAGACAGGCATAGCCCTTACTCTCATGGAGCTATACTCTATTCAGAGAGACAGACAATAAACAAAGAAATAAGAAAATGTCAAGTAGTCCCAAAGGTTTGGAAATAAAAGTACACCCTGCGATACATTAAAATCACTCTGTCTAACACGGTAGCTGCTAACCAATTTAAGTTTCAATTAAATAAAATGAGAAGTTCCTCAGTCTCAGTAGCCACATTTCAGGTGTTCATTAGGTTCACATGGTACTGGTGGGTCCTGTGCTTGGTGGCACAGAGAGATAATTTTTCTGTTATCACAGAAAGTCCTACTGGACAGCACTGGTCTGGAGAGTCAACAGAAGGGCTGGGTGTTAGATGGCCCAAGCTGGTGACATCTGTGCTGTCCTGGTGAAAGGAAGCCGTTTACAGGATGATGTACCAAGAGGGGACGACAGATGCAAAGTCTGTGGGTAGGGAGGAGAACGGTGTGTTTAAGGGACAAAGGGAAAGAGTGAGGGGAGAGGAGAGTAAGTGCAATTAGGGAGGTCAATGGAGACTCTGGGGACTCGATAGGAGTTTCTGCTTTATTTTAAGGATATCAGCAAGCCATGGGGGGTTTAAGCAGGGATGACAAGGTTTTTAGAATGTGTGGAGAATGGGTTCATGGGGGCAAGAGTGAAAGGAGGGAGACCTAGTGAGAATGACATTGTGTCACAAAGAAGAAGGTGACTGTGATCAAGGTGGTGAGGGGAAAAGGGAGAGAGCCACCAGTCACATCCCAAACCTCGGAGTCCTAGGTCGAGCTGTACCTGAGGCTAACGTCACTTGATCACCAAGCTTCCTCC